CTTTGTACAAACTGCCCCATGTAACCGACGGTTTGTACATATGCACAAATTCAATGTTAAGTTACAAAGATATTAAAATTAACAAAAAAATTCCATCCTGGCGCTTCTTTGTATAAAAAACAGCGCAATCTGAAGCCTAAACTTCGTCTTTCGTCTTGCGCATTTCATGCAAAGGTTCAGCGCCTGGCTCCAAATACTCTTCATGCTTTGCGCGCCCGCAAATCTCCTAAAAATTTGATACGCAGGAAGATCTGCATGCAAGATTTTCTCACGACAAAAATTCGTTTCTCTTTTTTTATGCAACCTACATGGCTTTCGATAATAATGCGCACGTTGCGACCCTCAAATATGCTAAGGCGGCTCTTCCAGAGCTGTATAATCGACACATGTTTGTTTGTTTAGCTCGACATATCTCTATATCATTAAGCACTTTTTAGTACCAAAGAATATACTGATACAAACTGACAGTTTAAATGTAAATTATATCGTTATGTTTATAATCTTTTGATCCCTAAAAACGGTTTCCAGAAAAATATAAAAAATTTTCATCTCAAAGATCATTGATTTTTTCTGCAAGTATAACTTAATGCTTGATACACAGTTTGTTGTCAAGACATTCCTTTCAAGTTTCAAAAATTTCCTTGCAGAATTGCTTGGGAATATTATCAGAAACTGTGTGCTAACAAAGTTCAATTGCCCCCATAACTTCGAATATATACATAAACATTTTGTTCAGCAATTCTACGAAATGAAGTCGTGTTCTTTCATATAAAGGTTATTTATACGTGAAAAGAGATGCCATTCGAAGCACTGTGTGCTATGCAGAGATAACGCCACGTAGGGTGTTGTCATCTTGTGGAACCTTGCATACCACAAGCTATATAAACAATGCGCGTCTGTTTTATTCTAAATATAGGCACAGGTTTTGTTTTCTTGATTTATGGAAAAGCTGATTCTCTTCTCCACTGAGTTGTATGGCAGCGGTGATAACAGAGATAGGGTTATCAGGGCATTTTTTAGGGAATTTGCTAGGCTAAAGTTTTATTTAGAACACGTTTGATAACTTTTAATTCCGACGTAACATAACCTACATACCGTAGCACAATATATATTATTGTAGTTTCGACCTAGTATTATAGGTAAAAATTAGTCTTCGAGCAAGTTGCATTGCATATGGCAGGCTATAAATCAAGAGTAAACACTGATATATATTACAGCATGCGCAGTTCCACGATTTATTAGTGAAAAATCTGTTTTAATTTCAACACAGTGATAGTGAAAATCAAGCAAGCAAGCACGCGCCCACCGAAGTAAATACCCTGTAGTTTTAATCAGTTAAAAATGCCCGGGGGTGTAAATGATAAACATAGGGCTACTCAAATGCTGTAAAAACCAGATATCGCAAAAACAAGGTATTGAATATTATCACCGAAATCTTCGCATCGTTTTACTTATCGATTCTAACAGACAGGTCATCCGCTGTGCAATCCCACAAATGATTCAGACAGGCGACAATTTAAAATTTCAATTTTACACAATCGTCAATTGTATATACTCTCAGCGATGATGTTTTACCCTTGATTGCAAATATATAGACATTCACTTCAAACATAACTACACAATTACATTAATACATTAATTTGTTAGATTTTCGTGTAAGAGTCGCCTTTGGGGATAAGCAAACAGACACAAATATCACTTCATTGCGGTGTCCCAATGGGACATTTGTCCTTAGGGTATTTAGGATAATATTTTTATGAAAAACTTATATCTCGTCTTGTTTTCGTCGACCAACTAACAAGCGACGTAGAGAAGACGAAAAGGTCAGGGAAAGAAATCAACAGATAATTACAGTAAAGCATGCGACATAATCTTTACTCGGTGCATGAGATAAGGTAACAATTAAACGGGAAAAAACAAAAGGAAATTCCTTTCATCGGCTTATCTCGCCACTTATATGCAAGGAACACCATCAGCCATGAGCCGTGCATTTGAGCATGATTCATAGTCGGCGACATTGGCTCGTACTGATTACAAAAAGATGATAAGGGAAATTGTGCAAGTGATATATTATCGGAGCGAAAAATAATATATTGTTTGTCCGAATCAATGCCTATCCAATAAGATTCGCTCGTGCAGGAAGGCACTGGAAATATAAGAATGCAAAGACAGAAAATTTAAAATCAAAATCATGCAAGTTCTGAAATTTGCAAGCAACAGCAATCTCATGCACCATTTCAGCATATCAAGTCTTATAGAAAATGGACCGTCAGCATGTAAGATAGCCGAAGAAAAAAGCATATGGTGACTTTCATCAAACATGTCGTTTAAACTTATTTCGTCACCAAAGTGTATAACTATAATTAATATCAAGCGGACTTTTTTTTCCATTATCATTTTACATACTGAATCGTTGTTGTGTATGCATATGGCGCTGCAATTTTGAGTTCCAATTTAATAGATGAATGCGAAAAGAGGAATTCCACAAATAGTTGGTTATCAGAAAGAAGGGTGATTGCGTTACGTTTTATATAGAGAGTGTCATTTAGGTGAATACATAATTGCAATTCCGATAAGTGGATCGCTGGAGGGGATTTTGTGCATGCTGATTACGCAAAGTAAAGCCATTATGAGTTTTATATACGTAAGATGTCTGCCTCGTAATATCACTGGTGTTTGATGCATGTCATCCCCATGTCGTTTAGCACGTTATGGTAAATATGGCAAGAATTCTTGCATGTTTCCATATTTTCAATGTGGTTAATTTGGGCAGTTCTATACGTGACAATATACTTGATAACATGAAAGCTTGGCAAGCTCGTTAAGTTAGCTACTGTACGAGGTACAGCTCATATTGTTTATTTGACTTCTACATCGCCTTTTATTGTCACATGTGTGCGGTATTTCTATCACTCGGCAAATGGCGATGCATTAATTTATCATCAAATTTTTCAAAAAACCTTCAATGGCCCTTTGTCGAAAACAGATAACACTGACATAAAAATCAAGAAAACATATAACAATTTGAGCAATAGCTGCATGTATTTGCACCACAAACGATTGAAACGAATTTCTGAACTATGTATTTCGCTGATAAGGAACTGATTCATAATAAATGGTAGGGAATTTTGTTCTTTGTTTACAAACCCAAATCTCAGGAAAGGCGTTTTTTTTCAGGCTAGTATCTTCAATTTCTAATGCTGTTCAGTTTCTTGAATTTTTACGACGCGCTTATTAGATCACTTTTTTGAAACCATTCATGTGTTCGAGTTTACCTTTTTATATAAGATGGAAACCGTGTATAGTTAATAACTGCATGCATGAAGCTAATACCACTAGGCTTGCAGTTGTATGCTATGCCAAACAAAACTCTGTTACAAGAATGCCTTCTGAGTATCTGTTATTCTTTACGTGAAACCACAAGGAAACATCGCTGATTTCCTCACGGTAACTACAGGCAAACAACAAACACAACCAACTCATTGTTCGCGATGCTTCTCTAACAACAAATTGACATGTTTAGGCTTAAGATTGATCACCTGATTCGTTGAAAGCACTCAATAACGACTTGGGTATCAAGAATGGACGTAAACATTATTATTAATGAAATCGAATGCAGTGAATATTGTCCGATACGGCGATGCGAAAATGGTAGTAGAATGATTGTATATATACTGGGAGGAACAAAGAAAGTTCAGACGTTTAATTTGTTATGGAGAAAAAACGATAAACGAGAGCATTTTTGAATCTCCAAGACCTAACTTAAATTTTGAGAATACTCGTTTAGTATTTCCTGGGATATTGATAAACAAAATTTCCACATTTCTCTGGAAGTTTGCTGCCTAACAAATCTATTTCTGGCGACATCTTAGTCAATATACTGCACGAAAGTAAACGTGGTAACTCCATGCATGCAAGGGACATACGAAGCAAATTTCACACCTTAATCGTTCTAAAAGTAACTATAGATAACCATCATGTTTTGCACACTCAATGTGTGGAAGTTTAAAGGTTCAACCTTGGCTCTAATTGATTGTATATATAGTTAATTATAGTTTCATGAAAAATTTCTCATAAATTAATGTTAATGAAGAATTACGCGTATATAGCAAACGAATATCCTTCAACGTTCTTCATTCTCGCAGAAGAACTCATTCCCTCAGTTCAACTGTAATTCATATGATGCTCTAGAAATATGCGGAGAAATCTGTGCTTGCTGCTAGCTATGAATTTCATTTTAATTGCGCGACACACATGGCGGGTCTATAGGTGCATTAGCAATAATTGTTCACGTACAAATATGGTCAATATATTTAGTACGATTGATACATCGGTGACTAAATTACTTTAACACTCTATACATACACTGGTCAACGAATATGCAAGTCACTGATAATAAAAGTGTTAGAAGGCGAACTTATAATTAACAAAAAGCCACGTCGAAAACAAAATGTGTTTTACTTTTGTGTTGTTTGAAAAGCTGGTCGCATTTTTGAGCTATGCATGTCTTCCCATATCATTTGTTAACGATTCGTCTTGTTTTTTGCACCGTTTGTACTTCGGTTGCTTTATTAAAATACGAACACGTTGTTGAATGTGATTTAGGTGACAGACAAGGGTAGAAACCGGTAGCAATCATTGTCAAAGTTGCCTTAATCTGCATTCTATTTGAATTGTACATGAATGCACGCATGCATTCAGAGTTACCGATGTTATTTCAGTTCAAATACATGAATATAACCTGTTCACGTATTTGTGATAAACGTCACTTGTCTAAATAAGAATGGGAGAAAATATACGCCAGATATATAGAAGTTATAGGTTATATTTTCCTCACATATATTTTACTTTGACGAATCAGGTTACCTTTAGACCACGCCTAACTACAGTTGTTTATGCCACGACTATGATAACACACCCTGTACGAGCCCGATAACAACAGCTTAACATCCAACCAGCATGTGCGAGAAGTTCCAAAACTGTTTCTTCTTGTCTTGCAGACCTGCTGCATTGAACTTTACGACGACTAGCATGCAGGATATCGAACAGCGAGATCCATTCCAGTAACGACACTTACTGTACAGTAAATACACGCCATTTATCTTCGTGCGTCATCGCTTCGACACCGGATATTATTTTTAAAACCTCAATTCTCCGCCGTTCTCATAAACAAAGACGGTTGAATCAGGGCTTGGAAGATATTGTTACAAAAACCCACCGTACACGCTGGTAATCAGTTCTGTATTCGATTCGACCTCCCAGGAAAAAGGCCAGCAGTTTTAAGGTAAGGTTTCCTGTACTTTTTACCCATAGTGAGGTAAAACTAACCATTTGCGAGAGACAATACAAGCTATGTACGGCTGAAATTGTGTTTAGTGTTTAGTTTAGTCTACCTTCCCGGAACTGGACGTATATTTTTGTGCCCGAAAATCGTCCAAAACAATTCAAATATTCCGAGAAATGCTTCTGCATGTTTGTTAAACGCTTGCTGGAAACAAGGCGTACATATAGAGTGATATTTCTATAAGCTATTACCGCGCAACTGACACGGGAGATAAATTTTCAAGAAACATTTATTGAATTACATGTATGTGTATGTATAATACACAGCCTGACATCGAAATATCGATTTCAATTGCTAAAATCCATATTTCTCGGACTCCTTTTGTATGGCGATTGCAAATCCGTTCTGACGGATTAAAAAGACATACATATATTGACGTGGTATTACAGATGTCTTCACAACCAAATTGAAAATATATACAGCCTTTGCTAACCTTGTAGCCTTGAATAGATCCTATATGTGCTATATTCTGACTGCCATATAATCGTATTTGATTTCTGATGCATAAACTTTGTGACTAAGCGTATTGATAAAAGAGAAAAATTGCAAGCATTAAAGGTCGTAACCGTCGCATAGCCTTCATAAACGACCATAAGCTTGCATGAATTCCCAATGCTAGTTTGACCGTAAACTTTGTGCTGTTGAATTCCCACAACTCCAGGCACGATAGTGCCCTAAATGTATGCCCATGCATGCAGTTACTGAGACCCTAACGTTAATGACGAACGATGTTTAGACAACGATATAGAAACTATAAACAAATGCCGCAAAACGTTAAAACTCGGCCGAATGTTTCGCTTTTCGACTGCAGTACAATAAGGAGTGTATATATATATAGCGCTATACGTGCTATAGACATAGTATACTAGCTTGGCTTCTTGTGTAAGATAACAAATAATTTTACACGGAGTACAAATTAGTATGAATTGAAATCATCTTACCTCATTATGAAAATCCAACATCAGATTTTTCTGTTACTTGCTGTTCAATGATCAAGCATAAACGATCGCGGAAATATGAATAGGAACTAGTACATGTTGAGTACATATATAAAGCATCCCTTTATCTAAGCCGCGAGCATATCGAATAAGGTGTATATATACAGTTTATCGTCTTTTGAACTCTCTTTATGTTATTCAAAGTTGCTTTACAGCAGAGTGTATAAAAAACGAGACCTTTCAGTGCTTTGAATGCTCGAGTATACTTTAGTCTTTAGCGAACAATGCATACGCGCGTGAACACCATTATTATCGAGTTATTTGAATAGAATTTTGTAATTAATCATATGGTGGATGAAACCAATGGTTTTGTAATACCTGGGCACGCCTGTTAAATCCATTTCAATTGTGTTTACGCATCCACGCGAGTTCAGTATTTTTCTCCAGCATCAAATTATAATTTCGAGTTGAATTTCTGAATAACTACAGGTTTTTTTAAGAACTTCAATAATTGATATAATATCGGAAAATTAAGCTCCAGGATTGAGCTCCTACGAGGATTTCAATGATTAAATGAGTTACACAGGCTAACGAATTTGCACTGTGTTCGCATATTTTTTCTTCATGAAGTCTAACTTTAGTATACTTTCGCCAAACTCTATCGACTTTACCAACAGAAATCCAAATATATGATGTCAATCAAAATACTGTACTCTGCTGCACATTAATATTACCGTGGGCATAATTTCTGGCGGCACTTGCATATATATTATATTCAGTTTGACAAACATAACATAAACATCGTACTCAAAATATAATCCCAAGTTTAACATCTTCAAACCAAAAAATATGGTTTGAAATAACAAGACGAGAGTGAGTTTGCGATATTTTGATTTATTTCAAAACCATCATAACATAATCTTCAAATTGTGTTTCATATTATGTAATTTATATTTTTTTAAATTGCCAGCTGCTGTTTGTTTCTTCAGCTAAAAACATGCATGCTCAGCTTAAATACCAACCCCTACGAAATATCGCAATTAATAGAAGAAGTTTTTTCATTTGGAAAATGAACTTTGTCACGCAGGCAATTAAGCGAGGTGAGATTCTCTGTAGCAGAGAAGTGCCAGGAACCTTTATCTGCAAAAATATTCAATGGCCTTTACATTTCAAAGATAAACTATGATCAGTTTCAACAGTTTGATGCATGTCGAAAGACTATATATAGTAAGCTTAAACTCGCTTGAACTCTGCTTTTACAGAAGAGCCAAGCACTTATACGTATATATTCGCTAAAACGTTTGCATAAAGTCTACCAAGGTCGGCGATCTGTTTTTCTGTTGTTGGTCATTCAAAATAACAAAGCACTTAATTCCTCAATGACCGCCGACAACAGATATCGCCGACCGTCGATGATATGTGAGGACTACGAAGAAGGGGAGAAACTCCGGCGGGGTATAACCCCCCCTACCCTAACCGTGGAGGCCCAATAGTCTTCTTGGAAGATCAAATTATCTGCGTTTTTGAGTAAAAGTCTAGACGCAAAATTTCATATACAGAATAATTTCGAAATTTCCGTGCATAAGAATATCTGCTCCCATTTAGACAATAAATTTACGTGTTAGTTGTCATTTGTGGATACAAACATATGAAACAATATATGAAAAATGTTCATAGTCGGAATGTATTAAAGTAGCCCAGTATCCAATCAGAATTGAGGGTTTCTTGTATAAAACAATACAGCCAGATGATTCATGTTTATCGCAACTTGCATTATAACAAAGAAATACAATACGGGTCAGTTGCCTTGACAACAAGCCTTCAAGCAATATACGGCGAAACTGTGTAAGAAATAGCAGCTTGTAACAACTTCGCATTACATGTGGTAAAACGACTGCCTAAAATAGACAAAAACATTTCCCATTACAAAACGTTTAAACCAAACGGACTTTGTCAGTAAAATGGTATCACACGAACTCTTCTGACGTAGGTTTTCGATTTTATGACGCGAATTTGTGCAACGTAATTAGCCTGGAGTCTCTGACTGCCATTTTATGTCATCAAAAAGCTAAAAATATCAATAATAGAGGAACGTGCCTTTTAAAATTAGTTTGTTTCACTCTTTGAAAGAAAAGGTTTCTTTGTCAATTTTAAGACATTTTAACAGTAGCGATTTATTGTAAAAAAAATAATACGCAAATGATTATTGTGACATTTTGTGTCTCACCTGCAAAGTTGTTGTTGACATTCTACCATTTTGCACTCGAATTTCCCTCGGAATTTCCCGGAAAACTGATCACGTGCGACAAAATTGTTATTGATAATTACATTTGTCTAAAATAGACGGCAAGAAATTCTCGACGTTTCCACCTGTATAAGGGCCTTCGTCAGGAGAATTAGAATAAGGATATAATAAACATGTACACCCTTCCATATATTTCTTCATATTTCCTTATACCAAAGCACTCAAGTCGAATCATCGAGAAACTTTTGTTTATTTTTCGGATTCTTTATACCGCGTTTGATGAAGGTATATATTTATAGACGCTGCCGTGATGCCCTCGGGTTATTTTGCAACGTATCTATATATAAAGTGATATTAACTATACCTTGTATAAGCATGCTCATTCGATACAAGCAATTTCGTAACGCCGTAAAGATATATTTAAAGTTTAAATTTATGTATATTTGAATCATAACATTACAGTGGGCATAGGAATCCCCTGTAGTTAAGCCCAAGTATATATATAAGCATAAGTTAAACGCGAATGATTTATATGGAAATAAACCTCCTTAGCTGTACTTATTTGTACGCAAATTGTGAAATATCAAGTCATATGACATTTCTCCGAGCGATACGTGACTTAAACCCAGATATCAAAGACAAAGATCAAAACATGACGTGACAAAGGCATGCAACAACCTGTCGCCCTGACAAGAAGATGATTGTGTATTTTTGATAAAGAGAAGGTCGGAATCATTGAGCCACCCTCGTCAGTTTATATTTTGTTAAGATGCTCGGATGTTTTCAAAAGATTACATACCTCTAGGGGGCTGACATTAAAATATTTACAATTTTTGTTAAGATGTGCATGACTTATTTTACTTCAATCTAATTCGCTCACTGCATGCTTTAAAAAGAAATTAACCCAACAGCAAGCATTGAGCAAATGCATGCAAGTGATAAAGAACTTTGGAAAATTAAACTACAGAGTTATCATAAAAGAAACCAGTTTGATTTTTGCTTGATAATGACTTTTAATGTTGCTGAAGATATACTACAACTACATATATATTCATACACTGTTATCAGTTGTCTCAAATGAGCTTTTTATAACCAGTTAAAAAATCAAAAATACTTTCAAAACATGATCAAATCTAGCTTATCAATACATTGTTAAAAAGATCATTCCCGAGTCACAGGCTAGTCAGTGAAGAACTTGTTACTTCAAATATTGTTTAAGATATCAATATAGAGGAAACTGCCCGCTTTTAAAACGGCTACATTCGAAAGCCAAACCCCCTCTGTATAAAATCGAAAATGACAAGCTGGCAATTCTATACCTGTGCTATAGACGTTCTTGTCTTTTATTTTTTTATTTCACATTTCAAAGGACTAAATGTATCTTTAATGCCGAAATGACGTAAAAATATTTTCATAATCGTAAGGTCAATCGAGTACACTAGCCTGTATATAGCTTTGTGTAAATCAGACAACTTTTTTCGGTGTAAATTTTCAACAAATGATCGAGCGCCATGCAATTTTTTTAATCTGAACTATTTTTAGGTCATTCTATAAAAAGTGCAGATTACCCACGCCTCATTAAAAGCATGTTACTTGTCGAAACTTTTGAGCAATATGTTTTGACATTTCCGTTTGCACATTTTATATTTTTTACTAAGAATTGTGCGAAATGTGCTTGAGTGTAGCGTACTTGGTTGGATTCATAGCAAATGACCCACCACAGCGAATTTAGTTGTTCATTCCCATGAGAATACGTA